GTGCCGGCCGCAGCTGCTCTGCCGTCAGCGCCGTCGCCGTCACGGGGCAAGCCGCCGTTGTCGCCGCAGCCACGCCCGTCGGCCTCGCTGCCGCCGGTCCAGCATGGCTGACATCGCCACTACCACGGCACCGGGCAGGGTGAGGCGCTAGAGGGTGAAGGGTGCATAGAGGCGAGGTGAGGCGGCACCTAGGGGCAGTGACCCCCGTGAGCCGGCAAGCCGACGCGCCACTACCGGGCAAGATGGAGGCCGAGCTGCGACCCTCACAGCTCTCGCGGCATGCGTCCAGAGCTCGATTCATCTGCCTCGCCGCTCGCTCGCCGCCTTTGTGGGACCTAAAGAGAGAGGTTCTGAGCCGTCGGGCGGCGCTGATGGTGGCCCGCGTGGGTGGAGCCCGCGGCAGCTAGGCCGCCTGGGCGCGGGGGGGGTGGTCCGGTGCTTCAGAGGCAGCGTGAGCGACGGGGGGGGCGAAGGATGTGAGGCGGCTCGCCTGCAGCGCCCACCTGCTGGGCCGTCTGGATCTGCGATTACGCCTCGGGAAATGCGAGATCATCCAGAAAATGTCTGCAGACCTCAAACCGATGGCCTCAAAAAGTCGTTGTCAGCCACCGATTTTCCGTGTCGCCCGACCCGCCACCTCACCGGCCCGGCGTTCGGAGGCGTAAAATCTTGGTCGGCCGTTGGGCCGGTGCCATCGGCCGCGGTCGAGTCGACCGTGCCCCGTCTTGGGCACGATGGACATGTGACCGGCTCCGGTCAAGATGTGCCCCGGCATGGCGGATGAGGCTCTCAGGTTGGGCGACGCGAGCGCCGAGAAGGTGGAGCAAGACCTCGCGTCCCACATGGGCTTGCTCGGTTGGCAGGGTTGGATTTGGGTTCTTTGTGATGCGCCAACTTCAACTTCCGGAACGACTCAACAGTGAGTCTTTCGCTAAGCGCGGGTTAGCGCGGGTTAGTGCTCACTAACCCGGCACGGGTTAGCACGGGTCAGAATGGGTTACCATAACCCGGCACTAACCCGGCACTAACCCGGCACTAACCCGGCACTAACCCGGCACTAACCCATGCGGCTGGGGGGCATACGTCAGCATGGGTTATGGTAACCCGAGACTAACCCGGCGCTAACCCGGGTTAGTCTCTCCCTCGGACGGCTTGGCTGCACCTTGCCCCTTGGTGCTCTCCGCGGCAACGCCGTTATCGGTAAGTTGAGCGTGTATGGAGTGAGTCTATCGCGTATCGGTAAGCGCGGGTTAGCGTCGGGTTATGGTAACCCGTTCTAACCCGTGCTGACCCGTGCTGGGTTAGTGTGGCTTAACCCGGTGGAACCCACGGCTAACCCGCGCTTACTGACAGACTCACTCAACAGGGCCCAAAGACGGGGGAGCGACCGGCCTACCAATCCTGTCCCAGCCTGGGGGGCCTCGCTAGATCTCCAGTGGGGAGTGCGAGGGCTGGATCGACTGCAGCGAGAGTGTGGGTTGTGGACCGTCGGGATAGCGTGTGGCGTAGATGTTCTCCTGGAAGTAGAGAGGCTGATGTCTCTCGCCCTGCAGGAAGGAGAAACTCGGACGGTGGAGTGAAAACTCCTCCCTGCGGCGTGTGCGCACGGGTTGCGCATGTGCGGCATCATGTTGAGGACTCGGGAGGGCAGCGACGGCGGCGTTGCCGAGCATGTACAGGGGCCTCAATCCTGTCCCCGATGGGGTGCGCCTCTCGCCGCGCGCGTAGCAGTCGGCGCGCGGGAAGCCTCAGAGATGCGCTGAGCGAGAAGCGGGTATCAGCAGACCAAGCCCTGGGCTTGGATAGGGCGCGGCGTAGCCGCGGCGCAGTGGATAGCGTGAAGAGCCCACTCACTGTCGTGAGCAGACCGCCGCTACCACGCGCGAGCCCCGCAGAGGTGCGGGCGAGAGGGCGGCCCGAGCCCGAAAGGGCCCGCCCTCGGCGTTGCTCTACATGGTAACGGATAAGAAGAGAAACACCCCCGGACTGGGACGCCGGCAGTCGAGTCGGGACACGCTGTGGTTCAGACGCGCGCGTGTGAAGCATCAACGCGCCTGCTTCTTCTCGCGCTGGTCCAGATTGTGGCTTGTGCACCTTGATTGACCGCGTCTCGATCGGTCGGGTCCACGCGACCGCGTCGATCAAGGAACTCTTCCGACAGCCTGAACTCGTGAACTGGTCTGGTCTAGACCGGGTCTAATCGAGGGTCAAACCTGGTGTCGCAAATAGGGTCCCCCTCCCACAGGCCGAACCTTAGTCTCGGAAAGAGGGAATCGGAACGTACTTAGAAGCACCAAAAAAGGACAAACAAACAAAGGAGCAAGGCACAGAAAACGGCTACTCTCTGGTACTGGTCTGCTCTCCTCTTTCGTTCGCACTGCTCCGCAGAAGCACGGCAGTTCTTGGCACTTGGGATGTGCCTAGTCGCCCGACATGCCAGGCATGCCGACCTTTTTTTTGGAGTGCCCCCTCGTAGAGGACGTCGGAGGGAGGGGAGGACGACTGTCCCAGACTGGGCGGACCTCAGTTACGAGCCGACCTCCCCTTCCTCCTTACTGTACAGCCCGAGGAGGGAGGAGTCGCTGGAAGGACGGGTAGTCGTCGATCATGCGGGGGGAAGAGGAGAGTCGGCGAGCAGCAGAGGGTCCAGGCACCAGGGAGGAGCACTTGGAGCACTTGGAGTGCAGTCATTAACCTCACATCCAGGGCCGGGGAGCTAAGAAGCGCACCCAGCGGGCCGGATGATCGGCATCGGGTTGTGGGCTAGAGAGCCCTAGCCCTGGGCGCTGGGGGGTGCGCGTTCGCAGGGAAAGGGCCGTAAAGCAAACACGGGTCTCCGAGGGTTGGTCTGCGCTTTGGGTTTCCCCTAGGTGTGGGGCGCTCGCCGTCCCCGCTCGCCCTCGCCGTCCCCGCTCGCCCTCGCCGTCCCCGCTCGCCCTCGCCGTCCCCGCTCGCCCTCGCCGTCCCCGCTCGCCCTCGCCGTCCCCGCTCGCCCTCGCCGTCCCCGCTCGCCCTCGCCGTCCCCGCTCGCCCTCGCCGTCCCCGCTCGCCCTCGCCGTCCCCGCTCGCCCTCGCCGTCCCGCCTCGCCCTCGCCGCCCCGCCTCGCCCTCGCCGCCCCGCCTCGCCCTCGCCGCCCCGCCTCGCCCTCGCCGCCCCGCCTCGCCCTCGCCGTCCCGCCTCGCCCTCGCCGTCCCGCCTCGCCCTCGCCGTCCCGCCTCGCCCTCGCCGTCCCGCCTCGCCCTCGCCGTCCCGCCTCGCCCTCGCCGTCCCGCCTCGCCCTCGCCGCCCCGCCTCGCCCTCGCCGCCCCGCCTCGCCCTCGCCGCCCCGCCTCGCCCTCGCCGTCCCGCCTCGCCCTCGCCGCCCCGCCTCGCCCTCACCGTCCCGCCTCACCGTCGCCATCCCCCCGCCTCGCCGTCGCCACCTCACCGTCGCCGTCACCGTCCCGCCTCACCGTCGCCATCCCGCCTCGCCGTCGCCACCTCACCGTCGCCGTCGCCACCTCACCGTCGCCGTCCCGCCTCACCATCGCCATCCCACCTCGCCATCACCATCCACCATCCCACCTCTTTCTCATCACCATCCCACCTCACCATCACCATCCTACCCCACAATCATTATCCCTTCCCACCTTCACCTTCCCTCCCCACCTCAACATCATAATCCCACCTCACCATCTTATCCCGCCTCACCATCACCATCCCACCTCACCATCCCACCTCACCATCACCTCCCATCTCACTATCACTATCCTCTCTCATCATCACTATCCTACTTCACCATTACCATTTTATGTATATTGAGAGGCACCGCCACCGGGGGCCGCCGCGCCGTAGAGCGGCCCGTCGGTCTTCCTACCGGCGGTGCGCGCGGCCGCGCTCGGAGGCGCTGATTGCTCGGCCGCGCGGGGCCGGATGACTCGCCCGCTCACAACCACGCTGACCCCGCCTCTGGGACCAACGACAGAGGTGAAACGACATTCGGCCCGCCGACAACAATTCGACCACTGGACTCGATATCTAAATGCGGCGAAGGCCAATCTCGAGTTCCCTTCTCAACTCTTCGCGGGTTATGGTGCAGTCACCTTCCCCCGCGACATTTCTACCGACGCCGACGGCGAGCCCGTTGAGGGCAGCATCTACAGGCGCTTTGTCGCCGACATGCATGCTCCGCTGGAACTCCGTGGACGAGGACAAGCTCTCCGACATCCTCAACATTGATACAACATCAAGGTCGACAGACGTGCCTCCATACACCCCTTCAGAGATCGGGTCAAAACCACATGTGAGGGCGACACCGTGCCCGACCCTCCCGCAGACGTCTTTCTCTGTCAGCCAAAGCCGATGCTTCAGCGGCTTCGCCAGCTATCGCAGATCGTCATCGGCTTGCTCAGGCCTGAGAACGGGTCTGGGGCCATCTAGTCAGTGCGTGCGGGACCTGGGGCAGCAACCAACAACCTGGAGCGACGGGGACGGGGTGCTGCGCAACCGGCGGCAGGCTGCAGCCCCCCCCCCCCCCCCCTCTGACGCAAGCGGCGGGTGATTGTGTGTGGACAGTGATGAGGACTTGCGGTCGTAATAAAAGGACACGCGGAGTCGCGCGTACGTCTCGGGTCGGTTTTGAATGTGCTTGCCCGGCTTGGTGGTGGCCCCACCGCCTGGAGGGTGTCAGGAGGACATGGTAGCAGACCTCAATGCCCAGGATGGGCACAACCCGACCGCTTAGCGAAGTGGCTGCTAGCTGACAGCAAAATCGACCTTCCAAGCTTTGTTTTTAGTTCGTTGTTTTGCGTTTAGAGATTAACATATCGGTTGAAGTTGTCATCGGAATGCGGAAGGCTCGAGGGAGGGCGCCGGACGGTACTCCGCGACGGCTGGCATTCGATGGCTTCGGCCATTGCTCAGCGTCGCCCGCCCCGCCACATCTCTCGGCAACTGAATCTCGAGCCACACGAGGCTGGGACCCGCGGGACTGACGTGCGATTCTGCCTGACGTGCGACATAGCGGTACTGCATGGCAACCAAAAAGTCCAAGCTACAAGCACTCTCTGTCCACCGCGAGTTCCACACACCATGCTGAACGTCACTCTCTGTCGTGGGTGCCGGTAGTGCGGGGGGGGGGGGTAAGCGGCGATTATTATGCGACGGCGTGTTATGGGTTCACTGTCGCACCCCTGTCGGGATCAATTAAGAAAGCGGGGGCCTCGCGCGGCGCCGAGCAACGCTGCGCCGCGCCGCCGATGACGACTCCCGCCGCGTGCCGCGACGGCGAGAGCACGAGCGGTTACAGCGCGGCGGAGATTCGCGACGGCGGGAGCGAGCCCGCGGCGGCCGGCAGCGCGTCGCCGCCGCAGTTTGTTGAGGACCAGCAGATGAGCCGGGCGGCCGTCGACGCCAACGAGGGCAGCGGGGCGACCCTGGTCAGCGCACATGTAATTGCGCGACGAGCGCTCTCCGCACAGGCAGCGCATCTCGATGGTCCGCCGCCGCCTGGCGAGAAGCTACGCAAGGCCGAGGCGAGGCGCGCTTCCCTCACAGCCGCCCTCGTCCGCTTGATGGCTCCGTGTGCGCTCGCGCCGCCTGCCAGGGGCGGAGGAGTGGGCGCACTCACCTACAAGCTGCCGTACACGGGAGACATCCAAGAGTTGAACCGCTTGCTCTACTACCTCATGCTCTCCTTCACCAGCTGCTCCGCCGCCGCGCTCTCGCCCTACATCTGCTCGCCTCTCGGCTCGGAGAAGCGCTCGACCGTCGTGCGAATTGGCTCCATCATCCAGGGCGCCGCGTTCCTCGGCGCGCGCGCCGCGCCTGGTGCTCCGCCTCAGCGCGGAAACTCCGCCTTCTGTGAGGTCTGCGCCGGCGTGAATCTGATCATAGGCGGCGGCGACGGGCCGAGTGACAAGCCCGATGCCAGGCCTCGCCAGGCCCCGGCGCACGCCGCGCACAGCTGGGTGCGCATGCTGGCAGCGTGCAACCCAGCCTTTTGCGGCCCGAGCGGCGTCTGCGTCTCCTTCCAGGAGGTGCTGCGCACCTTCGAGTACGGGTGGCAGCGGGACTGGCCGGCCAGCCTGGAGCGGATGTCGCCCAACTCAACGAGCAAGGAGGCCCTGTTCGCCCGCCTGGATCAGATCATGTCGAACGCCCGGACACTCGCCAGCGCTGCGCCGGACGCCCCCGTGGCGCTGCTCTGCACGCGCGGGGAGAACGCCGGTGCCCCGCCGCGCGCACAAGCCACCGCCCTCGATACTTACCGCGCGTCTCCGGATCATCCATCTACCTCCTTTTCCACGCAGGCGACGTGGGGCCCGCTACCTCGAGGGAGGCTCTGCTGGCCGTCGCTAACGCTGCTCAGCTGCAGGCACTCGTGCGTGGCATCTCGGCAGACGAGCGCGAAGCGTTTAGCGGCGCCGTGGTGGCGGCGCTCACGCGCATCTCGCCGTCCGTGCCGCTGGCGGAGCTGCACGTGCTGCTCGCGGTCCCGCGCGCCTTCAGCTGGCTCGCGCTGCGAGTGTGTGTGCTGCCGCGGCTGGAGAAGGCGGTAGAGGCGCTGACATCGCACGGCTGCACCGAGGTGCTCCTCCGCTCCGCCGCCGCGCTGCCGCGTCACGCCGCCGGCTCGTCATCCACGGCGAGGGCCCCCGAGGGCGAGGCCGAGCCGCCGCAGAACCACGTGGCCGGCACCGGCTCGCTCTCGTCGCTGCTTGTCGACGGCTTGCAGGTGTGTGAGGGCGCATTTAACGTGATGGCTCGACCCCCGACCGCAGCGAGCACTCCCCCCCCCCCCCACACACGCGTGCTACCCGACCCCCCCACACCCCACACGCTCAACCCACGCCGCGTGCACCAGTGCAACACGGCGAGAGGACACATGAACGTGAGAACGTGAGCGACGCCACACGCACACCACACGCGCTCGCCGCCCCTCGACACGCGGTACTCGGTCGACGACACTGCCCTCTGCCCTCTGCCCCTGCCCCGAGTAGGCCGACGGCGACGGCGGGCCCCTCACGCTCGGCCTGCTCGGCCTGACCGGCGCGTACAAGCGATCCATCGCCCTGCTGAGCACCAACGCGGCGTGCGGCATAGCCATCCGCGACACGCTCCGGGCGCTGATGCATCGCGCGTCGGGCGGCCGCTTTGGGTCCGCCTTCCGCCCTCTGACCCTCTCCGCCGCCGCGGCGGCGGCGGCGGCGGTGGCGGCGACGAGGATGGAGCCGGTGCCGCCGCAGTCTGGGACTCGGCCAGGCGCTGCCGCGGTCGGCGACTCGGTGGTGGAGCCCGTGACGCCGCCGCTCAGGCGGGGAGACAAGGTCCGCATCCGAGACCTCGCCTCCCGCCCCGAGCTGAACGGGGTCGTCGCGACGCTCGGCCACCGGGACGGTGCTGAGCGATGGCGAGTGAAGACGCCGGACAAGCAGGTGTTCGCCATTTTGCGCTCCAACCTCGACCCGCTGCCGCTGCCGAAGAAGCGGGACCGAGAGCCGCCTCCACCCGCGAGGCTCTCGCTGTGCGGCTATCAGCCGAGCGAGCGCGCGCGCGCACCGCTCCGGCGGAAGACTTCGCTGGCCGACTTCGTGCCTGCAGGGCGTGGGCCACCAGACGCGGCGGCGTCAGGGGGGCGGGGCGAGGAGCCGTGCCTCGCGGGCGCCGGCGGGCCGGCGGGCGGCGCCGGCGGCGCGAGAGGGCGGGAGGCAGGCGGCGTGGCCCTCACCCCACATACACACGCTCACAACACCGCGAGGGCGCCCTTCCCACACCCTCCCGGCACCCTCCCGGCACCCTCCCGGCACCCTCCCCGACCCTCCCCCTCCCGACGCGCACCCCTCCACGCCGCCGCCGCTCCTCTCCACGGCCGTCCCCGGCCCGACCGCATGGCGCCCCCCAAAATCCGAGCCGTGGACCCGCCCGCCGCGCAGGAGCGGCGACCGTCCTCGCCACGCCGGAGCGAGCCGCCCGCGCCGCCGCCGCCGTGGCGGCCGCAGAGGCCGAGGTTGCAGAGGCGGAGCGGCGCGTGGGCGTCGCCCGGTCGCGAATGGGGGCGGTGGCGTGGGCGGCGTCGGAGGGCGCGAGGGCGGCGGAAACGAGGGCGAAGGACGATGCGGAGGCGGACCTGGAGGCGGCGGAGGAGCGCCGGGACTTCTTCACCGATCAGCTCCGGCTCTGCGGCGGCGCGCCGCCGCGGGAGGTGGGCGGCGCCGCGGCCATGGAGGTGGGCGACGCGCTGGCCCGGCTCGCGGCGGGCGGGGAGGGGACGGAGGGCGCGGGCGGCGAGGCGGGAGGAGGAGGAGGCGAGCCTGGCGGCGGGCGGCGGCGGGAGGCGAGCGTGGTGGGATGAGCGTGACAGGATTGCGTCATCTAGGTGGGAGCGTGACGCGATTGCGGCGGTGATAACGTGACACGTCTCTGACTGCGGCGGTGTCGATCTAGGTGGCGAGCCGAGGCGAGGAGACGAGAGGGCGCGGCAGTGCGAGAGCTAGATGGGAGTGTCACTGTAGGCGTCACCGAGGAGACGCTCGCGAGGCGCGCCCTCGAGGCGCCCACGCCAGCCGGCCAGCTGGCGGCGCTCGCGACGCCCGACGTGCGGCGGCATGCGCCTCTCGACCACCGTCGGGTCCTTGAATCTGCTCGTGGCGCGCTCATCGCCGCCTCGGCGGGGGCGATGTGCGACGCGGCGGTGGCGCTGCTCCTGCTGAGAGGCGGTGCGGCGGAGGATGCCGCCGTCGCTGCGGGGATGCGGCGTGAGGCCGCCGCCGGGCTGGCGGCCCTCCTCGCGCTCGATGTCGACGCGCTCGGCGACGGCGGTGACCTGCGCGGGCGCGTCGAGGGCGAGCTCGAGCGGCGCGATGGTGTGTGGAGGCGGGCGTGCGAGCTGCACATGCGAGAGCCGCTCAGGGTGGCGCGCAGCCTGAGCAAGCGAGAAGCTCGCCAGTTGCTAGCAGCGGGGCTCGACGCCGCGGCGGCTGGGGCTGTCTCGGACGCTGCAGCTGCGGTGGCAGCCTCTATGCGCGCGCTCGACCCCGGCACACGCATATCGCGCGCCCTCCGCGAGGCCATCTGGGATGCAGTTCGAGTAGCAGGGCCGCCGCCACCCGTGGCAGCCGAAGGCTGGTCCGACGTCAATGTCGAGGACATGGTGCGCGCGGCCGTCAATCAGCCCGCGACCGCGCTGCACGCCGCCGTGCTCGAGGAGCTCGCGCCGCACGGGCCGCCGGGGTTGGGCCTCAGCTTGCTGCACGAGAACCTTCTCCGCCTCGGCCCGATGGAGGCGACTCAGTCGGCCGCCGAGCGCTGGAAGTGGATCGGAGGGATCGAGCGGGTCTTCGCGACCAGCGACTACTTCCGGCGCTTCCAGGGCAACGCCGGGGGGAATGAGGCGCTGCGCCTTTTTTGTTATGGGGGGGAGGAGTGGGCGACGGTGCTGCGCCGCGCCGGCGTGTGCGTCGGCAGCCGCGACTCCCTCGACTTGTCGCCCGCCGAAGCCTTCGAGCATGTACAGCTCGCGCTCCTTTTCTCCCACGGCAACCATGCCGCCGTCGGATGGGCCGAGAGGACGTTCCACGACGAGCAGCGCCACGTCCTGCGTGGCACGGGTCACGGGCGTGGGACGATGGGCGCCGGCTTCTCGCGCACCGGCAACTATTCGCATGGCCGCCTCACACGCGAGCTGCGCGGCTGCTGCTCCGCCGCGCACGCGCTGGTGCTGGCCCGCGCGCGGGGCGCGCCGCTGCCGTCCGTCGAAGAGGCCGAGGCCCGCCTCTCCGCGGAGAGCACTCTCGACGACGCCGCCCGCTGGATGGCGGCCGGCGGCGCCTCGCTGCTGTGCTCCGAGGAGGGAGTTAGGATGTTGCGCAGCTCGCTCCTCGACTCCCTTCCCCCCGTCGTCGATGAGCCGCCTGCGGGGCGGTGGCTCTGCGACGTGTTGGAGCGGAGATTGCGCTACAAGTCCGACTACTACAACACGCTGATCTCGGTGTCCAACGCCTCGCGCAGCGCGCAGCCGACGGGCGTCGTCGGCGCTGCCCGCATCTCCTTCTCCTCTCTCACGGCACTCGGCTACCACGTCGCGCCTCAGTGCGTCGCGTCGCACCACGCCGCGCGCGTCGCCATCCTCTCGCCGGGCCGCACGGGCACAATCTCCGTGCTCTCTGCGCTCTATGGGCGAGATGAGTGGGTCGTCGCGCCATTCGACGCGCCGGAGCGGATGCACGGGTCGGAAGTGCCCGCGGACTGGTCCGCCGTCGTGTTGCTCACGCCGCCGCTGCAGCGCGCTCGCAGCGCCCTGACCAAATTGTGGTCGGTGAGGGCGAAGCCGAGTTGGGCGTGGATGGTCGAGGCGCTCGGCGGCGCGGCCTCCTTTGTCTCGCCTGCTGCACTGCTCGACGCGCTGGTGCGACACAGGGTTGAGGCAGGCACGTGGGCGTTGCTGCGGCCGCAGCAGCATTACCTGGACGCAGCGCGCCGGCACGCGCGGTGCGTGCGCACCGTGGTGCTGCGCCGCGAGCACGGCGCCGACTTTGGCGGCGACCTCCAGCAGGCGCTCCTCCAGCTTGGCGTCGAGGGGCTCGAGCATGGCACCTTTGCCCGGAAGCACGCGAGTGAGCAGAGCGCAAAGAGCGATGTGAGCGATATCCGTGACGCTGACTTCGATCAGTTCCTGGCGGAGTACTGGCCTGAAGACGAAGACTTGTGTGTGTGATTTGAGTGTGAGTATGGAGGCATGTGTACAGGCAAAAGTGTGTCTCCTTGGTGAACAAAGGATAGCCAAGCCCCAAGCGGCCCGGTGAGAGAGTGAGAGCGGAGTGAGTCCTGCAACAGGGCGTGTGGAAGAGGAGTCGACAGTGCGAGGTCGTGAGCCGACAATACGAGGTCGTGAGACGCAAATCATGCAGCGTCTACAGCCACTGAGAGGTCCCCTTGACACACGCCGAGCGACTCGCCCAAGACTCTCGCAGCCGTCGAGCACTGGCGTGTAAGCCACGGCCAGTGCTCAACGTGGACCTACCAGCGAGGAGTGGTGCGATAGTGATAGGCGCTGGGATCTCAGCAGCAGGAGGTGGAGATTGGCGGCCAGGCGCGATCGCCGATGGTTGCGTCTAGTGCACGGAGGCGAGGTGAGCTGGAGGCGAGCGGAGAGGCGAGTGGAGGCGAGCGGATAGGCGAGTGGAGGCGAGCGAAGAGGCGATGGAGGCGAGTGGAGATCGAGGGCTGAAGTAGCGGATGCGAACAACGGGCTGTGAGCACCCGAGCGAGGGAGGTGGGCTGCACTCAGCACTGACGTGTCGATGGTGACGCGGGACGCGTCCTCAGAGAGCTTTCGAGGAAATAGGTGAGAGAAAAGAAAAGCGACGGGAAGGACTTCTTTTTAGAGGACGCGCGCCGCATCCGACACATGCTAATATAGTACCACATGCATCCAAGTCGCAACAGAAGAGGGCGACACACTAACAGTACAGTGGCTAGCAGGCAGTGGGTGAGGAGGCGGCGCTCCCACTGCCCGCTATGTAGCGCCCGCGACGCCCGCCTGCATTCCCACGAACCCTGCTCGCAGACTGTACGGGTGGACACGCAATGTCCACCGACCAAGGATGCACCGATCCCAGGATGCACCGATCCCCCCCCCCCCCCCACACGCCATCAAAGAGCCATAACCTGGCTCTTTGTCAACGGCGTCAGACCCAAGCGCAACGCCACAAAGCGCCGGTCGATGTCGGTGGCCGGCGCCGCGTGGCCCAGCAGGCTCGGGTCCCACCGCCGGCAGACGCCGGCGGCGTACTTGTCCTTGCCGCCGACGGGCCGGCCGACGGCGGCCTCAATCGCGCGCCAAAAGCCGTCCTGGTTGGACGTCTTGCTGACGTCCCGCGAGATGGAGAGGACGTACTCGAGCGGCTGTGCAACACGGACCGAGACCGCCTCGATCATTTGCACGGCGCAGCGCACCTTGGCGTTGTTCGGGTTGTGGTTCGCCTGCATTTGGGCCAGTGGAATTACAGAGAGGGGGCGGGGGTGGAGAGGCGGGGGGCGAGAGGCTGATGGCCTGCACGCGCTGGCCAATGACGACGAGGCGGTAGCCCTCGCTCGCAAGCGCGGCCAACTTTTGGTAGTACCACTCCTCGAGCGGGGCATCTGAGCAGGAAGAGGAGGGACTCGGTGGGCTACAGAGGCGAGGGCGAGAGTAGTGGGCGGGCGACGCTCACACTCTTGGTTGGCCGCCACCGCCGTGTTGAGCCAGTTGCGGGTGAAGGCCCCGGGCGCGCTAGCGACGTGCCGCCTCACCAGAGAGTTGTCGAGGGAGATGAAGAGGATCGGAGCAATCGAAGCATCGTGGGAGCAGATGTACTCGGGGCTGCACAGCAGTCCCCCCTCGAGCACGCGCTCAAGCTGCGTGCGCGGCTCCTGATCGACGACCACCGCCGGCGCCGGCGCCGGCGCCGGCGCCACCGCCTCCGGCGCCACCGCCACAATCGTTGAAGCAGCCGCCGCACTGCCACAATCGTTGGCGGGCTCGAGGCGGAGCGACCAGCCGCACCAGCCATCGACCAGCTCGGCCTCGATGCAATCGCGCGCCGCGCGGGCGTGCACGACGCTGACGAAGATCAGAGGCGCGTCGTCCGCCTCGCCATCCAGCTGGTGCGGCGCGTTGCCCGCGCATGGCTCGATGAGGGTCCGCTGGTTCTGCTCGAGCCTCGATCCGTTGAGCCAGGTTGTGTTTACCGCCGAGAGATGCGTCGCGTAAACCCTGCCGTCCTCTCGCTCGAGCCGGATGTGCTGCCTCGAGAGATGCGGGTTGCACGGCGCTCGCACGTCGCCCTCTCGGCCGACAATGACGACGCGCCCGTGGAGAGGGGCCGGGCCCTCGCACTGCTGCGGGTTGTGGGGCACGAGGGTCCCCCACCGCGGCTCCTCGCGCTCTCGCTTGGCCATCGGCTGGAGCGGTTGTCGGCTGGAGCGATTTGGAGCGGGAGGCTGACAGTGCCAAGAGAGCGGATGGCTGCTTGGCGCCCGCCGGAAATTTTCTTTTGGGTGGTGTACCTGCTTTTCGCTCGTTCGTGCCGTCATCATCTGTCCGGCGTCCACCCATACCGCGTTGGTGTCCAGTCCGAGCCTGGCTGTTCTTCACCTTTCTACCTACCTACCTGCCAGTGCGCGCCAGTCCCGTGCCCAGTGTCGTGCGAGGGAGTTTTGTTGTAAAATTCTTTTCGGTTCTCGTTGCGATATCGTTCCCCGGTGGGTAGCGAGGATTGGTGTTACGCGATCCAACTTGCTCGTATCAGGATCGAGGTCCCGCCCAGGATACACACAGCCAGCCAGCTTCAACGTCTACCAACCAGACGTCGTCCTCTCCCACACCCTGAGGCGAAGAAGAATCCCCGCTCGGCGCATTCACTGTGCTCCCGTTCCTGGCGGGGAAGGGCGAGGGTGTCCCCTCACTTCTATTTTTTCTGAGCGACCACGAGTTTGCATGGCGGCCGGTTCAAGCGAGCCGCCCCGGTTTCTACGCCCATTTGCATGCGCAATAGCCAATTGAAGCTGCGGCAATTGGGCCGACCGTGCTCTTGGGGCCGCATTCTCGACTGGTTATAAGAGCATAACCCTCTGGTGCTCACGGCCGAGCTGCTTCGCCTTCGGAATCCGAGTTAGTGGCGGACACGGGTTGAGGCGCCTCTGGTGCGGATGCAGTGCGGATGCAGTTCTCTTCACCTGCCAAGGTACACGCCGATGGCTGGTGACTCAAATTTGCCGCATTGCACAATCGGCTCTGATTGAGGGGGACGACAGAAAACAGCTCGTGAGGCCGAGGGTGCAGGAAGCGAGTGGCTACACTACTACATGCTATCCTCTTCCGCACGCACCGCAGAAGGGATGACTTCCCGGCAGTCTTAGGATGGGGCAGGCGCATCAGACCACTTCGGTGGGATGCAACTGAGGGCGGCGGGTTGTCCCCCTTCCCCCTGCGCTTGATCACTGTTGGATGCACAGGCCCAGTGCTGCCGAACTCATGAGAGGTTGACGAGAGTTCAACTCAGCCACACTTTCATAGCTCGGAACCTCAGGTGGGCTCACAGCCTCGCGGTGGCACCACCCAGCACACTCAGTCTCAATCGGTCCAACGCTCTTGCTCTACGGTGACGGAGTCACAGTCAGGACGGCCAGCGGTGTGGCAGAGGGCCGGCGCACGCGGGTTGGGGGTCGAAGGTTTGCGCACGTGGGCCCCGGGCAGCGCCCCTCTGTCTGGCACGTGTCCGGCGGAGGGTTCGACAATATACACATATACTAAACGAGGAAGATAAACCACGTCGACCTCGAGACACGTTCAACCTCACTGGAGGAGGCGCGAGCCGCGCGACGGACTCAGACCCCGAGTACTGGCCCCAATACTCCGCGTCGGCTAGGGGCGGCTGCCCGCACCCAGCTCAGCGCCCCGAGCACGCAGACAGACGCTCTCGCCGGTGTGGGTGCTGTCAACTGAGCCATCGTTGAGAGGCGGCTCTGCGTCGGGATCCGGCTCCGCGGGCGCGGCAGCCTCAAAGTCGCCATTAGAGCCGCCTCGATGTGAGCTTGCCACCTTGATGAGCGCGAGGCAATCCGATCAATGTCGATCCAGCTGCCAGTTTGGTTGAGAGCCGGGTCGATTTGGCGGGCGACAGCAGCACTGCTCTGGCCACATTCCGGCCAGGCGTGCTATCGCAACGGCAATGGTACACAGTAGGCTTCGGCCGGTGGCCGCTACTGGACCGAGCTGAGATGACGGATGGCCGAGCAAGCGCGTGGCAGCTCCTCTCGCTCTAGACCCCTGTTCTTGCGGTATGTCTTTAGGACAGGGACGAGCTTGTCTGCTGCTGCCTCGACCCGATCCGCAGCCGGCTCTGGCTGCTTCCTTTTTGACACACGTTTGCCGCACTTGAATGCCAGCGTGAAGGTGGTGACTTCTTCGACAACGTCCAGCACACGGGACGCCCTTCACTGACGCACGCGGCAAAACGGGGCCGCAACCACAACGCTTTCGGCCGTCCAGCGACGGATTTTCGTTCCGTGTGTTAGCAGGTATCTAGCCACAAGATTGTCATTGCGGTTCGAAACCGTGCGACGAGAGAGAGAGAGATTTGGTCTACGCTAGAACGAAAGCATGGAGCGCCGTGCCCTTCGTTCACGGGCGGCAAACATAAAACGTTCACGGCCCTCACCTGTTACGAGCGGCCAGTCGAGGCTTTTTAGCGCGCAGCCATCATCCCCACGTGTGTGTGTGTGTGTGTGTGTGTGTGTGTGTGTGTGTGTGTGTGTGCGTGTGTGTGTGTGTGTGTGTGTGTGTGTGTGTGTGTGTGTGTGTGTGTGCGTGCGTGCGTGCGTGTGTGTGTGTGTGTGTGTGTGTGTGTGTGTGTGTGTGTGCGCTCGTGTTTACTTCTTCCCGCTTACCCGGTACGACTCCTGTGTCTCACTTGCGCGTCCACAGTGTTGCGAAGCAGAACGTGTGGGGCTCTCGTCCCTGCGGACTCGGCCGCGGTAACACGCGCCCGCGAAGGCCGGCCGTGCGGTTCCCGCTACTGTCAATGAGCCTCGTGCGTTACTACAGGCACTGGCGCGGTTCATTATTGAGGCTCGACGAGTGTGTGCTTATAGACGGTCGTGCTGCCGCCCTGCCAAGCTCCGCATTTTGCACACTTCCGCCACACTTCGGCTGCACTCGCTTGTGTGTGTCTCTCGCTTGTGTGGTCGCGTCGGATACCTGCACTCTCCTCACACACTGTCCCACTCGCGAGGCTTGGCTCCATGACCATGCCGCGAGCGTTAGGCGTGCTGCCTTCTGCTGGTAGGTGCGTCGAGCTCTGGCTACTGGCGCAAAGCGCCAGTTGATAGAGTTCCATGCTCTGGTCCGCTGTGGCGCTCGACGCCGAGAAGCGCTCGCTCGCTTGGCGATTGTCAGACTCTGCGCACAAACCTGCCTCGCGCACTGCACTCCACCCTTGTTTGTGCAAACTCACTCTCCAAGTCCATGTGAACCCCTCCCCTCCTCA